CTGATAAACAATTTGAACAAATCGATGTAAGAATAAACAACGCACACATGTCCTATGCTAATACAACAAAATATCTGTGAATGACTCACGAGGCTAGGCTTCGCTGCAAAGTCAAGTTTGTACAAAATATTAAAAAATGTATTGGCTGCTAGGAAGAAACTCAAGGTTATCTGTACATAATAAATTGCTCCTCTACAAGAGGTATTGAAAGTATTGAAACCTATTTGGACATATGGTATTCAGCTCTGGAGTTGCGCCAGTAAAAGCAATATTCACGTTATACAACGCTTCCAAAATAAAGTATTAAGGAACATAGTTGATGCACCTTGGTATTGCCGTAACGGTAATTTTTACATAGACCTACAGGTGCAAACTGTTACAAACCATATCCAAAACTGCCAGCAGCAATAAATAATGGTTGCTTCAACATGGGAATGTCGAAGTTACCCAACCTCTCGATAACACCAATGTAGTATGAAGCAGCAAGAGAATCAAGATTTTTGAATTAGTTCAATGGCAGTGATAGTTAAAAACACGAGTATTGTGAGTCATTGGTAGTATTACTATAATTTATTAGACGTTAAGGTACACTAAAGAAAGGGTAGGACCTTAGTTTTCAAGGATGATCTCAATAAAATTGTCATTATAGAAAAACATTCTTAGAGAAACCTGGAATTTAGACAATAATAAAAAAAAACTGGACAATAATACCAACGTCAACCTTTATAAGAATGAAAATATTACTAATCACAATACTGTAGCAAATTAAGCTATCAGTGCATTTAAACTTTTATCTGTTGACTTTATCATGCAGTAAAACATGCATGTAAAGCATGCAGTAAAACCTGAATCTTGGAAACCGCTTAATAAAAATATTAGAAGTTATTATAAATTGTTGTTGTTTTAAATATTTCCAAAAATAGCCGAAGTGCAACAGAAAAAGAAATTTTAAGATACCTGGTATACTCAAAAGAGTGACAAATCGAAAGCTAAATAGAAGGGATGATGGGACCATGAGATGAATGGTATGAATAAAAGTAGATCTATAAAATCAGCTAAGACAGAGACAAAAAAACACGATTACAGTCATCGCTGAGCAATACCTCAATATGGAAATCTGAGATTTAAAACAGCTTTCCATGATTGAAAATAATATAGTAATTAAATTTACAAGAAACAACAAAACAAATTTAGAAAATGATAGCGAACTACAAATTTTTTTAATCTACAAATTTTTTGTTACCACTTTGTCGCAAATTGCTTGAAATTGATGTCATAGGTCCAAAGAAGTTTATCTTTTACCATTCACTTCAAAGATTACCGCCGAATCAGTTGAATGAGCCACGTAATCAAAGCACTCTTAAAGGTAATTCACAGGTAAAATTTTAATACATGTGAACACCGGACGGAAGACACCAACTTTGGTTTCAAAACGGGAAGCATTATTTGTTGCATACAGTTTCTATGCAGAATTGCAATGACCAGAAACAGATAAACGTAGTAGGGGAAGACCACTTACACGTTGGGCTAATGACATGAGGCATATCACGAAAAATTGGCAACAAAGAGCACAAAACCGCAAAGAATTGAGGAGTTTAAGAGAGGCCTATGTCCAGAGTGGACGTGATAAATAAAGGCTGGATGATGATGATGATGACAGACATAAAAGGAAATTGGTCTCGATGGCGAAAATAATTATTCTGGAATCAAAAAGCATATTTCACGATTACCAAAGATCTGCATCTGTAGGCAGAATAACTGGAAATAACTACCCGCATCCTCTTCTTACTGTTATTTTTAACATAGCAGACAACATGGAGGAACTGCAAGAGAATCTCTTCTTTGGTATACTTTGGTGTTATGGGATATTTAGTATACCAGGACAAAACTGGTCCATATTTGTATTCCTCTTTGTGACTATTTATTTATATTTATTCATATCGTGTCCATAAACAGTAAAACAGGAGAACCTATTTATTTTGGTGCTTTGATTTTTAAATTTCAAGTTCAAGTCCACTTCAAGTGAGTGAAGAGTTTTGTCCTTAGCTATTCTGTTGTTTCGATTGAAATAAGATGATATGTGTTATTATTTAGTAGATCTTTCTGTTGTATTAACCAAATCTAGATGGCTAACTATATCAACCAGAAATGCAAAGTCGCTAAGCCACTCCTTATCTTTCTGGAATTATCTTTGATTTGCTTGAAAATAATGATTGTATTTCTTCTTTTAAATTAAAGCAGTGGCGGATCTAGACATTTACCTTTGGGGGGGGGGACTTCCAATGAAACATCAACCAAAAGACAAAAAAGATAAACTCAAACTAAATAAAAGACATGCGCATTCAGTTCTAATTTTGCCAACTAGACAATTTTACCTTTCCCCGCGAGTATGCCATAGCATAGTAGAGATAGTGATAAGACAGAATTTTAGAACTAAACTTGGATCTATCTTAAACAATAAATATGACTGCAACCAAGAAGTATAGAGACAAGTAACAATGTCTAGAAATTCTTTTACTTAATTAAACAAATTTATCCTCCCTATGCCAGGGAGTGGTAAGAGACTCAAATTAAATCGAAACGCATCCTTCTTCGTATATTTATCGTCCCTACTCGACGGAATGAGTACAAAAATTGATGGTAATTTATATGGGTAAATTGTTGGTGCATAGTGGAATATGTTATTCTCAGTACCGCTCTGAATGGCTTGTTTAAGCCTGAGTATACAGTTTACTTTAATTGCTATCGACGTATCTTCATCTTTCCTCACTAGAGGTCTCTAGTTGCATACTCTGGTAGTTATTTTCATGTAATTGCCAGAGTAATCGGTGCGTTTTGATTTGGTTTGGGTCTTCTTACAAACTCCTTCTGATGAAGGGTAGACCCAGAAACACGTGTCAGGGAGTGGTAAGAGACTCAAATCGAAACGCAACCTTCTTCGTAAATTTATCCTCCTACATATGGTCAAACCTAATATACATAAGGCAGCGAGATACAGTCCCTCATAATAAGATCGCAAAATCATACAGAAGTATTGAAATGGTTACTCAAAATTTCATGAATACACCATATTACAAATGAAGAAGTTTTAAGAAGAACTAACACATAGAGAGCTAACGAACATCGTTAAATAGCAAAAAGGTTCATACTTAAGCCATATTCTAAGAGCTGTTAAATGTTACTGTAACGGACAAAATTGAGGGTCGAAGAGGACCAGGGTACAAGCAATATTTTTGGTTCAGAGACAAAAAAAGAGTTCCTGATGTAATAATAATAAGGAAAACAGACAAAGGATTCCTGCACATTTTGCAATCAGTTTCAACGCCTTCATGCTGAGTAGGTAAGGTACATGCCAGAAGAAGAAAAATACAGTTGAGAAGTTACAAATGGGAAAATATTGTTGTTATTGCTTTAAAATGTAAAAAGTATTCACTATTTATAAGACCAACATTGGTGCCGTAATCTTTCAGATGTCGGCCTAATGGTCAAACAAGTGACCTATAAAATAATTAGTGTGTTTGGTTCAACACCTATTACTTCTGTGATAAGTTTTCCTATAATTTTTTCATAACAAAATTTTTGATAACCTAAAATGCGAAGATATGAACAGACAAACAAATCAATTAAACGGTAAACTTACTCTTTTATAATTATTAATACTTTTATTATAATTGGAATATTGTTGGTCTTTTCATGCTTCCACAGTTAACAGATATATTAATATTTTTAAGTATGAGATCTACTCAAAGGTAACTTTTTTAGTTCCTTTTCAGTCTCTAAAGAGGTAGACAAATACATACATCTTTGGTAAAATTGAGGGTTCTTAAAGAGAAGTTAGGAAAATGTCTGCATAAAAATGTAAATAAGAAATAAATGACACCTGGATAGTAATAGTACATATCCAATAAAATGAACAAAAATTCCGGATTTCACAACTGGTTTATTGAAATCAATAAACAGCTAAATCTTGCTTACAATTTTACTATTCTTCAAGCATTTTTCAGTATGCAATACAGTTCAGTATTAAACTGATTTAATTAACACATTAACCGTCCAAATCGTGTAGTATAATTTTTTCCCTTGTGCCAATTTATTTTTATATTATAATTATAGTATTCAAACCCATATTTTGTTGGGCGGCTCTTTCGATTGTGAACGGAAGTGGCGGTTAACGTGTTAACTTTGATTAGTTCATTGTACCGGTTTAATTACATCAAGAGAATCTCAATAATATTGGAATTAATTATATAAACATTAGGCACATACAACGGTTCAAGATAGCAGTATTTTAGCGCCTCACACTCTTCAGCCTAACTACGAGAAATATTTCATGTGGTAGTTGTTGTACCATGGAACAAGCATTTTGCCGATTTGTAGCCTCTCTAGCGTATCAGCGTGCTATCGAAGGATAGAGAATAGTCTGGAACATTGGGGCGGAAAGGAGTGGCTCCTGATCTACTGGGATCAATCCCCCTCCTCACTCCAATGAATTGTAACACAGACATGTAATTTTCTAAGGGGTGTGTATGTCTCACAGGCTGGGTTCAATTCTATTGCTTGCTTGCTGTTGTGAAAATCATTATTTGAGAAACTTTGCTACTGTTTGTTCCTTCCTATCTTTAACTTTCTTTCTCGTTTTTCCAAAAAAAGATATGTTTCCATATCTTTTTTACCCAAAACCAATTATATATTCGGTATTCTCTTTATAGATTCATTGCTCTTGATTATATCTTCGTCTTCTCTTCGTCCTATTCTTTTATCGATCGAATTGTATTCTCGTTTGAGTAGAACATGCATATATTGTTCAAATGTAAGATGTTTTAGACATAGTTAAAGGAACTTTATGCTATTTAACCATACTTAATATTTACTACAATCTCCTTGAAACAAAACTTTTAAATACATTTGATATTGCTTTCAGTTTTATGCAAACATTTCAACTACTTCTCTTTCAAAACTAAGTTTAAGGAAATCTGTTATAAAGCAAAGTACCTACCTACTTATCTTTTCATAATATCATCAATTGAAAACCCTAACTTAACAGTAGTTTTTACACTATCTTCACTAACTTTTTTCTTAGTTAAATCTAAACAAGAAGTAGTAGCAGTAACTAAACTAGGAATTTGCAAGTCGTAAGATTTCCCTTGACAATGGGATATCTCGTGATTTTTGAGGTCTGTGAAACTTACGAAAAATTGTGAACACAGCATACATTCCACAGGTCGGTCCGTGTGGGTCAACATGTGCGTTTTGAGGTTGGATCTTTGGTTGAAGGATTTGGCACATACTGGGCATTTGTGTGGCGATTCTTCCATGTGGAGTATTTTATGTACGGCTAGCGTTCGTGACTGGCAGAAGCCTTTGCCGCATTCGTTGCATTTGAATGGTTTTTCTTTGCTGTGGATATATCTGAAACAAAAAGAGACAAACATTCAAAATTTGTTTCCGGTTAGCAAACAGCAATGAACACTTCACATTATATTGCCATGTTTTGTGTAAATGCCTTTGTTGAAATTTAAATATTATTTAAAATTTTGAAGAAAAAATTAAACTCATGTTCAGATGTACATATTAAATATATATTAATTATGTATGGAGTTATGGAGTGAATAGGAAATTCTTTTAAAAGCAACAATCGATAGCAGAAAAGAATAATATCTAACTAGTTTGTGGTACCAAACAAAATACTTGTTTTAGAACAGAGTGCCCTAGAGAATAATAAGACAAGATAATCAAAAGGGGAATCGTAATAAAAGCTTAAAAACTGAACTAAAAGTGGCGCATACCCTATAGACACAACAAAATGTGTAACATGACTCCAAGAAATAATTAAAAGATGCGCAGTGGAGACTAATTGTAATAGAAGATCACAAGCGCGACAAAAACGGCGTAACAGGAACAAATCGTTAGAAGAATCAATACAAATAGTGAAGTTGTGAACCTAACATCACACTGACTGAAACAAAAAGTATATCCAAATGGTTTACACTTTATGGAAACGAAAAGAAAGACCTATAAAACAATAGTTCGATTTAAGAAATGTATATGAAACATTCATATACGCACAAGACATGAACAAGGCAAAGAAAGTCTAGAAAGGCTAAAACGCAGATATAGGCTGGATCCGACTCTCTTTAAATATAGAATATCATACATATATACCAAACAATACATCTCTTATACGTAAATCTTTGAAAAACCTACGACAGTGTCCCACAACGAAAACTATGGGAAGCTTTAGAAAAAACAAACATCAACGTAACTTTAATCAAACCAGTGTAAGAAATCTATAAAAACAACACGAGCAAAATAAAGATAGGCCGAGAGATATACAATTGCTTTGTAATGTAGACAAAGATACTGTCTGTCCCTGACCTTATTTAAGATCTTGGAACAAGTGGAAAAAGAAATGTAGTGATATGGAAATCCCCCTAAACGACACCATATTGTACACATTATGCTTTGCAGATGGCCAAATAAACTTGGCTCATGACTACGAAGATCTTCAACATAAGAGGCAAACTTATTCAGGAATATATGTGTATAGGCGGAGAACAATAAAATCTAATTTTAAAAGAGCAACATCAGCTAATAAATCGTTGTAAAATGTATAAATATTTAGGTATACACATAACCAATGACAGCAATTTGGATGAAGAGATTCACATAAATAGCAAACAAATAACCAGGGAAGACAAATCATTCAGCAATTGAACAGTATACTGCGGGATAAAACAATTTCGAGATAAAATAAATACAGAATCTAAAATAGCATTGTCAAAGGCATTATTAAATATGGTAGCGAAATATGGCCATGAAGGAGAAAGCCATAAAGACTTTGGAGGCAACAGAAAAGGATTATTGGAGGAGAACGGGAGTAGAAATTATTACTCCTACGCAAAGATATATGTCTCTGGAGAAGAAATCGAACAGGTCAGGCAATTCAAATACTTGGGTTGTATGCTGAACGAGGGTTGGGACCCCGGGAATGAAATAAAGACCAGAGTTGAACAAGCCAGAAATGCTTTTTTGAGGCTTCGTAAGTTTCTGACTGATCGCAAATTGGACTTCAATTTCCGATACAAGATGCTTAAGTGTTACGTGTGGCCTGTTCTCCTATACGGAATGGAAGCATGGACGTTAAAGGCCAGTTCCATTAACAAACTTGAAGTGTTTGAAATGTGGTGCCTGCGTCGAATGCTTAGAATATCATGGACGGACAGGGTCAGAAAGGAGGAAGTACTCAGAAGAGCGGGCTAACAGGATAGGGAACTTTTTAGTTATGTAAAAAGTAAGAAGACTGCATACTTGGGGCATATATTACGAGGAGAAAGATACACTTTTCAGCAACTGATACTCGATGGGAAGATAGAGGGTGGGAGAGGTCTGGGACGTAAAAAAATGTCATGGCTGCGCAATATTCGACAATGGACAGGAATCCACAGCTATGAAATGCTTCGCAATTCTGCTAAAAACAGAATTATTTAATCCTGAATATTTAACATCTCACCTGACAAGACGATGTACGGTAGACGCCTACGCAGAAATGCACGGCACCTTAAGAAGAAGGATGAGAACGGCCGGTAAATCAAGATTCGACAGAGTAAGACAGGGGGTTAAAGGGGTAGAATGCGAAAACATGGAGTTGGTTCCAGTTTACTCCACTTAACTCCTACTCAAATCTGACTCACTTTCACACTGGTGCCTCTTGTTAAACCTAGAAACCCAACTGGACATCCGGTATCCAACCCGAGTGGAAAGTTGGGTCGGGAACTGACGATAGTGGGTGAAATGGTCCTCCGAAAAGGGAGTTGCGCCTTGGGCCGGCGCTCCATACATGTAAAAATTGGAAGCCACGAAAGAAACTATTGCCTAGGAATAGAACGGATATTCAATATAACTAAAAAGAGGGGCTATACAGAACACCAAATATGAGAAATAGACATAAGTGGCGAGAGAAATTAGGTTAGAAAATTCTTTGGGGAAGTGAAGACAGTCAGACAAGGTTAAACTGTTAAGGTAACAAACACAAGCTATAAGAAATGAAGCAAGTAAATTAATAATGATAGAAAGACAAATCGTCTAACGATAGGAATACTTTCGGAATTTACTAAATGTTGAAAATGATATGGGAAAAGCAGATATTACATTGTGCAGATGTGGAAATACCAGCACCAATATTTCAAGAAGTAAAGAATGCGATAGCATGTCTTAAAGATCACAAAGTGCCAGACAATGATGGTATAAATGGAGAATTGATAAAAAAGGAGGAAACATTTTACATCAAGCATTGTATGCCATTATTCTGAGAGTATGACAACAACAGAGAAAGCCTAGGAAATGAAATGTAAACGTTATAATGCCCATACATAACAAGGAAGATAAAGAACAGTTTCCAAATTATAGAAGAATATCGCTTATTAACACAGCGTACAAATTTCTGTCCATTATCTTGCTAAAGAGGCTTACTCTGTATTCGGAAGATATTCGAGGCGACTACCACTGCAGGTTTCGTGCTGGAAAATCAACAATAGGTCAAATATTTACGAACCGATAAATATTATAAAAAGAACTGGAAATTCAACTGAAATGTACACCAAATTTTTGTAGATTTCCAGCAAGCATATGATTTGATAAAAGGAAGTAGACTATAGCTACTACTATGTTGAAAATGGGAATACCAAGAAAATTAGTGGAGCTAACTCAAATGTGCGTGACAGACACATATGCACAGGTAAAGATAGGAAATATAACATCGATTCCATTTAGTATAACATCAGGACTTAGACAAGCGGGATATTAACAGTACAGCACAAGAAAGACGAAAGAAGGGCAGACCAAGATTAATTTGGTAGGAAGGAGTTGACGAAAGTGGCGAAAAATGTTATAAATGTTACAATAAATATATTGTTTAATAAGCATTTTGTGATGTACACACACGATGTAAACTTGAGTCATGCGACCAATAACAAAGTATGGCACAGAAACATGGATCATGGCAGAGAAAACAATAAACCTTATTAATACTATATAAAAAAAAGATATTGAAAAGGATATTTGTACCAACCTGGGACAAAAGAATGTGAAAAATAACGTTCAACAAAGCGTTATATTATTATTACGAAGAACCCTCTATAGCAAATTATGCAAATATACAAAGATTGCGCTGTGCATATCACCTTATAAGAATGGGTAATATCAGAACACCTACCAAAACGCTTAGTGGAACTATGGTCGGACGTCGGCCAGTAGTAATACCTAGTAAGAACTGATGCGTAAGAGATATTGAGGGTAAATAACGTAAATATTAGCAGCCAAGGAAAAAAATGCATGAAAGCGGATGCTAGGATGCCTTTAGAAAAAGAGAAATGATAAAGAAAAAAATAATGTAAAAAAGAAATAATTAACGAAACAGGGACATAAGTTAAATGGAAAATAACGAATTTCAACAATTCTAAAGACATACATTTAAATCGTTCTTATGCCCAATCCTTTAATTACTTTGTCCTCACATATATGTACCTTCATAAATACTGCTAAGTTGTAATATGGGATATAAAAATATAAAACGCTCTGATAATGATAACCTGATAAGAAAAGAAATTTTTGTTACACTGAAGACAAATATGTAAATTGATATACTGTATAAATGGGTGCAGTTTGGTTAGCTAGTTTCTATTGTTAAATCTAAGGATAAAGCCCTTACCTGTGGTCTCTAAGATGGTCCTGCCTTCTAAACGCTTTCCCGCAAATATCACAAGAATAGGGCCGTTCGTCTGTGTGGGTCCTTTCGTGAATCAACAAATTATAACTTTTGGTAAACTGCCTGTTGCAGTATTTACAAATAAACTGCTTCTTCGGTCTCGTGCCTAAAGTTTTTGGTCCAGCTGGTGGTCTGTTTGGTATGTTCATATCTTGGAATTGGTCTCTACCGTGGTACATCGCTGCATTTCTGAACCAATGGTTCATGAACACTGCGTTATACGAGTGCACTGTTGAAAACGCCGGTTCAATGGGCTCAGACCGGTACCAATTTTGGTGGTATGGAAGGTTTAGTAATGGTGGAGACATTGTGCAATATGTAGGAGTATGTGGTGGCGTCAGTAATGGGGACGTGCTATCGGCTTCCTGCTTAATTTGAGCGAAGTCGTAGACTCTTGGAGATACTGGAAATAAAATAATATATATTTATATATGTTCCAAAATATAAACGTTGTTTACAGTTGATTTTACATTTGTTAAAGTAGGGTAGATCGGGGCTAGTTGTGACAGGGGCATGTTGTGACAAATAGTTTTATAGACTAACCATAGGTAGCAGCGTCGCCCGGTTACCCAGAATTCCACGTCCGCATGTCCTCAGTCTGTTTGTGTAGTTTGGTTGTGATGCTATGCGTTTCTGCCGCTTTATAAAATTATATGTCATTTCGTTGTAACGAAGTAAAATTTTGCTGTTGTCTTTGAATTGTTATTTCACTTTCAAACCACAAGGTAAGAAACTTATTCTAGTTGTAGTAGATAGTTTGTTTATTTCTCTCTAGTAAGACACAGTTTGGTTTCTATACGACGTGTCAAGGTCTGTGCAAGTGGCTTTATGTAAAATGGCGTACGGTGGGGCTAGTTGTGACGAAAGGCTTGGGGCAGATTGTGACAGTGTCACAACATGCCCCTACTAATTTTAATGCATGTTTATGGGTTTGTTACAGATAATGGTGAGAAATTATAAAAGGAAAACGGAACGTGGTCGGAGTAATATAAACAGTTACGAGTCGGCTTCGTTAGATGTTAAGTCTGGATCGTGTAGTTTAAGGCAAGCAGCTGAAAAATATGGCGTTAACCGGATGTCCTTACTTAGATATATAAAAAAACAACAAACCAATCCAGATGGAGTGGTAGAAATGGGTTACAAAAGACCTCGAATGATATTTTCACAACAACAAGAAGAAGAGCTCTGTGAATATGCTGTTCAGGCAGCGAAAATATTTTATGGTATTAGCCCAAAAGAAATGAAAAGTTTAGGTTTTGAATTTGCTATAGCGAACAAAGTTCTTGTGCCTGAGAATTGGGTAGCAACAAAACACGCCAGTAATGATTGGTTTACAAAGTTCATGCAACGTAACAATAATGTGTCTATTCGTGTTCCTGAGGCTACCAGCTTAAGTCGGAGTACAAGTTTCAACAAGCACAATGTCGGACTCTTTTTTGATAACCTCGAATTAGTATTAAGTCAAAACCATTTTACAGCTAATGATATTTGGAATATAGACGAGACAGGGACTGGGACTGTCCAAAAACCGGTAAAAATCATAGCGAAGAAAGGCGAGAAAAGAGTTGGTGGTGTCACTTCAGCTGAGAGGGGGACCAATGTTACTATGGTTCTTGCTATTAACGCAGAGGGTAACTCAGTTCCTCCTATGTTCGTTTTTCCACGTAAGTTTTACAAGGAGCATTTTGTACGTGATGGGCCAGTAGGTTGTTGTGGTACTGCTAACCCAAGTGGCTGGATAACAGGCCCGGACTTTTTGTTTTTTATGAAGCATTTTGTAAAAAAAGTAAGGTGCTCAAAGAAATCACCGGTTTTAGTTCTGTTAGACAACCACAGTGCTCACCTATATATCGAAGTCCTTGACTATTGTACAGAGCACGGTATTACTCTCTTATCGTTCCCTCCCCATACAACAAATAGACTTCAACCACTGGATGTTTCCGTTTTTGGTCCATTTAAGAAGTTTTTAAACGACGCCATGTGTGGATGGATAAAATCTCATCCTGGAAACACAGTCTCAATTTATGACATCCCAAGTATAGTGAAAACAGCATTACCTAAAGCTGTAACACCAACAAATGTTCAGGCAGGATTTCGTTCTACAGGAATATGGGAATTCAATAGAAACATTTTTAATGAAGAAGACTTTCTGTGTTCTTCGGTGACCGACCGACCTTTGAATAGGCCTATTGACATCGTAGATGGTAATGAGGAAGCCAGCGCTGGGCAGCTTAAAGGGTTTCAGCATCTCGGATGAACCTGAACCGTCGTCATATTATGCTAACCAGCCAGGACCCTCCCATACCTATCAACCAGGACCATATCAACAAGGATCATCGCAGGCCAACCTACCAGGATCATTCCATGCCGAAGTTCTGCCTGTCAGCCCTATGGATATAAGACCTCTGCCAAAAGCTGGTCCTCGAAAAAATAAAAAACGCAAGAGCTTAACATCTGCAATTTTGACTAGCACACCTGTCAAGGAGACAATTCGCAGTGAAGAGTTAAAGAGGAAGGAAACAATAAAGTGCAAAGAGGATAAAATAAAGAAAAAATTATTTGACTCAAAACAACTGTTGCCTAAGAAAAAAGCAGCGCCAAAGAAAGAGACCGCAACAAGAAAAAGAGAAGACAGCTCAGAAGAAGAGGAAGAAGATTACTTTTGCTTAGTTTGTATGGGACCATATAAAAAGTCTAGGTTAGGAGAAGACTGGGTGCAATGTATGGAATGCAAGAGGTGGGCTCATGTAAAGTGCACAAAAGATGATCTTTATTATGTTTGTATAAACTGCCACTCTTCAGAACTACAAGTAGAATCAGCACAAATTGACGATAGCGATTAAGTTTTTTATTTTACTTTAAATTCACTAGATGTTTTTCTACACATTTGTTTCTTACATAAACATTTATCAAACATTTATGTATCTATACTTAACTATAAAATAAAATTATTATGGAAACTTTGTTATTATTCTCCAACTAAAGTTTATTATATTTAAAAATATTTACTGTCACAACCTGCCCCAAGTTCGTCACAACTTACCCCATATTGGGGCAAATTGTGACAATATGTGCATTTTGTAAAACTATTTACATACTGTAAGGTATTGCTTAAAAATTGCTGATGTTCCCAAATAATGATTCCCAATTAAAAATAGTACCTCATTAAAGTAATCTAACAGCCCTAAAAATTACGAAAAAAATGTTAAAAATTATTTTGTCCAAAGTGGCACAACTAGCCCCAGTCTACCCTATATCAAATTTTGAACAAGTATTTATGCAAGAGTAAAGTCGAATTTGAGGAATTATTGTTGGGTTTTACTCCTGCTTCTGAAAGTCTAATGAACTCACTGGACCTCAAAGAGCTAAAGGTGGAAAATTAGACACAATGTAGTGTAACAAGAGCGACTAAGTAGCATCATTAAAAGACTGGAGAAAGGTTAATAGGGGAGAGTAATGAGAATCAAAGATGGACACTTAAAATATTGCCACGTATTGCCAATATTCAAAAGGGAATAGGGGTGGCACCAACTGATGCCAAAATGCACAGGTTAAGATGGTTTGGTGGAATCACCCAATGCAAAATTTTCTGATCTGCTGGTTCCTAGAAGGAGTTGAAGAGAAAGAGCAAAGAAGATTTGGGTTAAGACGCTTAGGCAGGGCAACTTATGGATAAATGTAATTAGGGAATCCAACCTCGAACAGGAGAAAGTTTAACGCTACCATATTGTTTTTCCGATATTCAGTTATGCCTTCGAAACCCAGTCAGAGGTACTGAGCATCACCAAATCTCAAAATCAACAATATTTCGGATACATTATGCGAAATAAATCTAGATATGTCCACCTAAAAGCTATCCTGCAAGGAAAAAAATTTGGAAAGCGAGACCAGATAAAAAAAGAATATGTTGGTTAAAGAATCTCTAGCTTTTCCGTACTTCTGTAGACAAGATAAATATTGTCATGATGATCGCCATTATAAATCACGTATAGGCACATCAAGAAGAAGCAATAAATATGAATGCCTGAAAGAAATAACAGATCAAACGCAACATTAGATATTATAAGCACTGGTTTGCAAAAACTCAAGATGAGACGACTGCTCATTTTACTCATGGCGCAACAATATATGATCCCAACGCCTTCTGATACGGGACTACCTATCGATCAGACTACCTGATCCATTCGAGTCTTTTCAATATAAACTAACAGATCCATTTTACATGGTAACTGCTACGTTTGTTGGTTTTCTGGCCAGCGCTAAATTACTTACATCTAAGTGGCACATACTTGTTTCCGGCCCCAAGTAACTACTGACATAAGAAGGAGTATCACTATATAAATTTAGATAAATAAATAAAAGATACATTTTTAAATTAAAGAAGATTGAAGATTTTGAGTATTCTTCATAGTCAATTCCAATAATGAGAAAGCCCTTACAAAGAGCAGATCCATATTGTTTGACAGACAAGCGGCACTGGCGTGTCAGGAAGTGACGTCTAGGTTGGTGTGGCACTGCATCAAACAATTATTGAACTAGGAGACCGGAAAAAGGTTGAGCTTGTCTGGGTACCAAAGCATCGAAGGCAACAAAAAAGCAGATCAACTTGCTAAATGAGAATCGAACGAATCAAACGGACCGGCTGACTCTGGGAGTACCAAAGACTGCAGTACGTAGGGCTGTAGAGGTCTGGATCTGAGAAAGTCATGAGCGATATTGGGAGAGAATCCCAAAACAAACATATGGAAAAATCTTCATTGGTGGATGATGTACAAAAAGAACAGAAGCACTGCTCCATATTTTGCAGGATCAAACTGAGAACAGTAACAGGAATGTTGACCAGGCATGCACCAGTAAGAAATTTTGTAACAGGCATTTACAATGGACGCAAAAGGCAAAAACTATATGGGGAACCAAGGGGAGACCTTTTAGCTCTCCTCTTGGTTCTTAGAAGTTTATACGAAGAAAATAAATTTTAACGTACTATATATGCTTTTAAAAATTAATGTTGCTATCCATATCGAGGTCGTAGCCTATAAACTGAGAATATTGTGATAGACGAGAAGGAAGGAAGTTATAGTTTAAATAATAACAAAAACACATATATCCAAAACCCCTATTAACTACATGTACAAGCATACATAAGCCAATACACAAATTATTATTTAGAATCTTAAAGATAAAAAAGAAAATAGAATGACGTACATACACTATTTCCAATTTTAGGAAGATCAGTTCATGGCTATAGCAGCTAGCAACGGATAAAGCAATACAGAAAGATCAAATGGAACAGACGAATGGAAGTTTTAGAAAGAAAATGACAAGGCAGATGGAACTAACTTACTGTGATACTCAAAAGAATGACTCCGGCTCATTAACTGGTACTTAACGTTTTCCCACACAGAAACTATTTGACTGTATAAACAATATGAATGTTTTTATAAATTAGATAGTGGTAAAGGCATTATTAAATAATTATAATCGTTTATGGCTTCAATTGGAGGTCGTCGCACCAAAAGAAAAACTAAGGTAATAATAGAAATTGAAGTAATGGTTATTAGGACATACTATTCTCAAAGAAATTGCTGTGCACCTTTTGAATACTAATTATAAACGTCAAACAAAATAAAAAATAATAAACAAATTTAAAAGAAGAGCAAGAACCATAAGCAAATACTTTTTGGTGGAGTACTCTAACCTCAGTATCAGTGCCCACTCAGAAAAGACATTAATCTAAGCATCAACAGGTAATAAATTTCTAACAGGTAGAAGAAATATCTAAAACCATTTTTATATACCGCTAAATAGAAAATAAGTATCTATATTTGAAATATTTCCACTATATGAAATAATATCTACTATTGCAATAACATTAGTATGATCAGTTTTTCCGCTTGTTGCTAAATTTTGATTTAAGAATTTAAATAAATATTAAAATTAAAACAAAAGTAGGTTCCTATACAGTTAACAATCATAATTACGAAATAGTTCACCAACAAAGAACAAAAAGAGAAAGCACAGAACAAATAGTAATAGTGTAGTGGTACCACAATATAGCCCATCATAGAATCTGATAAATGCCATATAGTATGAAATTTATTGCAAAGTATAAATAAAGTGATGATATAGAACTTTCCTACGATTAAATAAAGTTATCTATTTACTGCATTTGTTATCTACAATGGACTACTTAATAATCTACTAAATTTGGGAAAAATTAGTACAAAATGTTGTAAGTTACGTAACACGAACTTACCTTGCTTGTCGCACTCTAAAAACTGATTCATTTCCGAAGGTAACTGTCCATAAATCACAACAATCACGAACACATAAATTTCTACAACACTCTGTATATATGGATTAGCAGTGGCTATACTAAAATAGCGAGTGTCAGTTACAACTTACTACAGTGAACTGATATCTACGCTACCTACTGGTGCCACTGGTCGATCTAGTAGCCGGCATTCGGTTCCGCCTTTCGTTTTTGTTTCTCGCTCTGTGATTGGCCGACTGCGAGAAAAAGTCTAGGAAGGGCGAAATCGTTACAGTTTTGGGGGTGGCATTTTAGGAAGCTTTTGCAAGGCTAATGTGATATTTGTAATAATAGATACAATTTTATTGCTAGATTGCCAATAGTTGCAATATGAAAATGTTTGCTTATCAATGTTTGGGATTTTAATCTACAGTGTGTTACGATGATAACTGGGATTAAAGGAGGTATTTATCGATCCTTTTTTAATAACGAACCATATGCGGCATATCTATTAATGTGTATTAATTATAAAACAGATTAACTTCATAAATGATTAAGTAAATTTTCCCTTAATACTTTAGCTTTATCTTAGATAAAGAAATGTATTTTATAAAGTTTTTAAAACATATTTTAATAAAACACCCATCGTACATTATAAAGGAAACCCCCAAAATATATCATAACGAGAAAAAGTGTCGAAGGTTGGTGATCATCATGACTATTTGTATTCTGTTAACTGCTGTCTTCTTCTTCTTTAAGTTCCACTCCTATCGGAGATTGGAAATCATTCTGGCAATTATAATTTTGTTGGTTACGCGCCTGAATAGTTCAATTGAACTGCATCCAAACCATTCACGGACATTGCGTAGACACGAGATTTTACGTCTTCCTACGCTTCTTCTACCTTTGATTTTACCCTGCATTATATTCCTTAGTATTCGCATTTTTCACATCTCATGATGTGCCCCAAGTATTCCAATTTCCTGATTTTTATGGAATTTATAATTTCGCATTGTTTTCCTAATTATTCGAGAACTTGTTCGTTTGTTTTCCGATCCATCCATGATATTTTCAAAATATGTCGGTAACACCACATTTCGGATGCTTCTAGGTTTTTAATGTTGGCATTTTTAAGTGTCCAAGCTTCACCCCATACAAAAGGGTAGAGAAAATATAACATTAAAGAATTCTTATCCGGAGCGATATATTGATATCGTAATTAAAAAAAGTTTTCTTATTCTATTAAAAGTTGACCGTGTAATTTCGATGCGGCATCTTATTTCTTTTGTCTGATCAGTATTTTCTGTGATCCATGCTCCAAGGTATTTGTACGAAGATATTATTTGTTCAATTTCTGTATTATTTAGTAGGTACTAGCTTAACTTTTATGTTTTGTGCTTTTGTAAATACCATGAACTTGGTTTTCTTGAAATTTATTTTTAGTGCATAATCGTTGCAATATATATATTTAGTTGTTCAGCAAGGTGTTGCAGTTCTTCTAGTGTTCCTGCCAGAAGGACGGTGTCGTCAGCATATATTTTTTTATTAAGTGGCTCATCGTTTATTATAAGGCCCTCACTGATCTCGTCAAGCGCTAATTCTGAGATGGCTTCACTGTATAAATTTAATAACAAGGGTGATAAAATACACCCTTGGCGGACGCCACGGCGAATCTGGATATCCTCGGTTAGTCCATTTTCAACTTTCACTTTTGCTGTTTGGTTCCAATAGAGATTACATAAATATGATTCTAATATCTCTATGTTTTTATCTAATAAAATTTCTTTAAGCTGATTATGCTGCACTCTGTCAAATGCCTTCTCAAAATTAATGAAACAGGCATATATTTCCTGATTAATATCTAAGCATCTCTGCGAAGGAACACTTACTGCAAACAGTGCATCTCCTATTCCCAGTCCTTTCCTAAATCCCATTTGTGTATTACTTATGCCTTCATCTAATTTCTTATGTATTCTATTGTGAATTATTTTAAAAACAATTTTAAGATATGACTCATTAAGGCTATGGTACGATGGTCATTGCACTCCTTTGCATTGGCTTTTTTGGGAAGCAGTATGAATGTTGATTGGAGCCGTTCTTTAGGTATTATACCTGTTCTATATATGGTATTGAATAGATCCAAAAGAAAATCAATAGATTCAGTATTCACAATTTTAAGTAATTCGATAGGAACTTCATCAGGCCCGGGAGATTTACCACCTTTAGCTTGTTTCATTGCATATTCAATTTCTTCTCGTATAATGTCAGGCCCAGTATCATCCTTAAATTCTTTTGGTGATTTTGTTCTCTCTTTGTCTTCAAAAAGTTGTGCTATATATTGTGTCCATCTCTGCATTTTTTGGTTCAATTGGATTTTTTGTTTTGAATAATTTTCTTTCAGTCATTATAATAGTAGTATTTCTTCTGTCATCCAGTCTTTATGTTTTCTATTCTTTGGTTTTAAGTTTTCATTTGCTGTTTTAATTATTCCTATGTTTTTTAACCAAGAAACTTGTTTTCTTCCTACACATCTACGGCCCTCTATTTTGCCTTTAAGGATCAGTTGTAAAATTATATATCGACTTCCACTTACTATATGTCCCAGATAAGACATTTTTCGATGTTTAACAGTATTTAGCAGTTCTCTGTATTTGTTGACGCTCCTTAGTACTTCTTCATTAGTTTTTCTTGCTGTCCAAGGTATTTTCAGCATTCGTCTATGAACCCACATTTCCAATGCTTCAATTTTGTTCATGATCGATACTTTTAGCGTCCACACTTCTGCACTATACAAAAGTACAGACCAAACATAGCACTTAACCACTACCTTTAATATTTGTCGACTATGAAAAGGCATTCGATACCGTAAATCAACAAAAATTTTTGAAGCCTTGACAGAATGCCGAATTGATTATCGGTATATAAATATAATTAAACGCATATACCAAAACGCAACAGCCAGTGTTAGAGTGGGTGATCGTCAAACCCAGAAATTCCCGATACAACGTGGAGTACGCCAGGAGGACACCATATCGCCGAAACTGTTTACTACGCTTTTGGAATATATATGTAAAAGGGCAAAACTGACCAACAAGGGCATAAACATAAACGAAGAAAAGCTTAGCCATCTAAGGTTTTCAGATGATATTGTACTAATAGCTGATAGGATAGAAGAGGCCAAAGAACTTTTAAATCAGCTCTACCTTTCCTCAGGGGATTAAAAATAAATATATCTAAAACCCAGATGATGACAAATCTTGTAGTCAGCGAAGATATATGTGTAGGAACAAGATCCGTAGACCAGGTAATGGCCTATAAATACCTAGGTCATGAGATCCGCATAGGAAAAGATAACCAAACCGTTGAGCTTCTCCGTCGTATAAGACTGACTTGGACAGCCTTCGGCAAGCTGAACCATATTTTCAAATCGTCTGATATACCAATATACCTTAAAAGAAAAACCTTTAATTAGTGTGTTTTGCCAGTGTTGACTTACGGTGCGGAAACGTTGACCATGACAAGGAGAAGAGTTCAAAAGATCCGTGTGTAGAGCGATGGAGCGTGCTATGTTGAGCGTTTCACTACGAGACAAGATCCCAAATCGCCAGCTACGACAAAGAACAGGAGTGGCTGATGCAGTAGAGAGAGTAGCAACACTGAGAAACTGGGATGGAGACCAAGAGATAATCCCTACCGAAGCAGAGGTCGTCCACCAACACGTTGGACTGACGATCTAAAACGTTGTCATAGGAATTGGATGCAAGAGGCACAAGATCGAAATAGATGGAAAATGATGAGAGAGATTGAATGATGAAATCGATAATTTATCAGAGAACCCTGAGACAAACTTAAAAAACACTATAGTTTATTTTAATGAACGAGAGAGTAATTAGCATAACTTTAACTGGTACCTCCGACCACTCCATGGGCGTGCTCAAGATTAATTGAAAAATTACTTTGAATAATTGTAAAAAATAAATGAATTATTTCAGTGTTATAAAGTGTTATGTGTATGTAAACAAAAGTGTCCTCTTTTATCACACACTATATTAGAACTGACTGGCCTACATTAAAAAGGGTTTTAAAAAATTCACATTTTTTTAATTTTTAAAAATTATAAAAGAGAAAAAGAGTTTTTAAAACCTTCTAAGGTATGTTAAATAGATGAATAAAAATATTAATATAAAACTTACAGCTACTTGTTACAAATCCAAATCAGATTCAGAAGATGAACTTTCAGAACCAAGATTTATAATAACTGGCTCGATCGTTTTATCAGTAATATTGTCCAGCTTCCATATTTTTTCCTCTTCTTTAATAGTGTGATTTACTGCCTTTTCCCAGTTTTCAGGTTTTACATTATTTACGGCCTCCAAAAACAACTGTTTAACATCATGAATTTTAAAAGTGGTATTTTTTCTTGAAACTTCACTCTTTATCTGTGCCCATACCAGTTTAATCGGGTTTAATTCACAATGATATGGTGGGGATCTAAGTACTGTCATTCCACGATTTTTGGCAATTTCATCAATTTCGTATTTTTAAAATTTTTCTTTATGAAGGGCACACAACGAATAAAGTCCCTTTCTTATAGATCCGGGATGGTACGTAATATTTTTTGAACTCAGCCAATTCTGCAAGTCTTTATTTAACCACTTGGTTGTGGGCAGTCCTTCTATAAGTCTGGAGTGATAACTTGCGTTATCCATTACTATTACACAGTTCTTAGGAGGAAGATCTATCATTTGTTCGAACCATTCTTGAAAGACATCAGCGTTCATGTCTTCATGGTAGTCACCGGTACGAGTTGATTCAAAAGTTAATAAACCACCTTCAACAAAACCGTCTGAACTGCCAATGTGTACTATTATCAGCCTGCGTCCCTTTCCTTATGGTGGGTTTAAACCAGTAGATAAGATATATACAAAAGCGTGCCTTTGACTTGTAACAGTTTCATCCTGCCAAAATTTATTTGGTGTATGACCCTCGTTGATCCATGTTTCATCAAGATAAAATATTTTTCTTTTTTGGTTT